CAGGGATTGGGGTGTGCTTGTCACCTAGATGTTTTGGACCCGTCCCCCCACCAGTTTTGCCCAAATGTAGCCTTTTGAAATAAAAATTGCTGGATGTGAGGATCAGAGAACTGTAGAGTTGGAAGGGACCACAAGGGTCATCTAGTTCAGCCCCTGCAATGCAGGAATCTTCTGTTGAAGGCGATCTAGAGTACGGCTGGAAAGGCATACAGCTCTAATGCCTTGGATCACCTGGCAAGAAAATGGGACCAAGGGGACTCCAGCTTAAAGAACCGTTAGCAGAGTATTTACCACTGTCCACAGGGTTGTGTTCACGTCAATGCACATACCTGACCATTAGAATTTCCACACAGCAAAGGTAACAGGCATGGAGCCCCAGAAGACATCGTATGTTCAAAAGGGGATCCCAACAGTTTGGAAAACACTGCCCCCTTTTATTGCAAGAACAGCCAAAAAACGCACACAATTATCATGAATATGCAAAGTGAAGAATGTCTGTTTTGGATATTGCGTGACACAGGTAGCTGTTTATGATTTCATCCAAATTGGTTCTCTCCAGAAATCACAATTCTGGTCCTTGATGCTTAAAGAACAAAGACTGTTGTTTTTTCCACCCCTCAGCTTCAAACGTTTCCTTCTGTTCTTTCAGAACTCTTCAGAATTACTAACAACTTTTAATGCCTTTTAAGTTTTGCTATGGAACAAATCGGGGGGCGGGGGGCGGGACGACAACGACGACGACTTTCAACAGACCACTCAAAGCATTCATGTTTCCTACCACAGCTTTTCTTGTTTGGCAACTGTCCTCATTGTGCTCAGAAGCATTCACCTGCTTATGGAATTTCAGCACCAAAAGTTGAAGCAAGAGGCAGGTGGAGGTGGGGAGAAATGATACTGAGACCCAAAAATGCGATGAGAGGCAGAAATACACCTAGCCACAGAAAATAGAGTCAGTGCGCTCCTGGAAAGGCAATTCTTAATTGTGTGGCAAGCTTAATTGTCAAGCTTAATTGCAGGTGGGGGGGAGAGTGAGAAAATGAATGAATGTGTGCAAATGAATGAATGAGTGTGCACGTGTGTGTTTATGAGCTTATATGTGGGTAGCCTTGCCCACCCCCACCCCCATTAGTCTGGAATATTAACTATGAGGGAAATGTGAGCCCCTACAGAAGGAAGAGGCCTCTGCCAAAGAAGATTGGCAAAATCAATTATTGAACTATGCAGGACAAATTAGTCAACCTGAAACCCAAGAAAGAAAGAGGACTTTGATTGTTTTTTTAAAAGGGGGCAAATATTTAATGCATATTTTTAAAGCTTTGTGTATAGATTTCTACATGAGTATGACTTTTAAAAGTCACTTAAATGGTGAAGGTTTTAAAATTGGATTGTTAAGAATATAAGGTTTTACAGGCATGCATGAACAAGCATAAAAGAATGGAACCAAGAAGAGGAGTGGAGGGAAGTCAAGCAAAAAATTATGATTAAAAAATTTGTTTATGGTTTTTTTTCTTTATGCGTTGTTTTTTTGTTATTTTTTGAAAATTAATAAAATGTTATTAAAAAAAACCAACTATGAGGGAATGTGGCCCTTGAGCTGAAAGGTTTTCTCCTCCTGTCTTAAATAAGTAGTATCCTTCTGGCTTCAGCCAATGTGAAAGGTAGTTAGAGATCCAGTAATCTTGCAGCAGTTGCAATGGTGAGCTGATCATTTGCAACCCAGTCAAGGTAAAATTATTGTATGGCCAATTGGTACAGATCTTTGGCTCCCATTGTGGATAATAATAACAATAATAATTATTTTTATTTTTATTTATACCCTGCCTTCCCTCGCCAAGGCCGGGCTCAGGGCGGCTAACAAGCAATAATAAAAACAAGTTGAATGAATACAACTTAAAAACAAGATTAAAATACAACATTAAAATATTGAAACATTAAAATGATGCAGCTGCCGCACTGAGACTGAAGCTGCGAAAGGGATAATATATAGCATTTGCTATCTTGAGTATATGAAGTTATTCTTTCAAACTTGCTTACTCCTCATTGTGGTATGGTAGGTATGGTAGATCACTGGGTAGGCCTTGACGATATATCAATATATTGCCCAGAGCCAGTATGAGGAGCAGATTGCAATGTTGGCTTCACTCAGCTGTATATTGCTGGTGAGACCACCACCTCTCCTAAGTCTCTCTGCTAGCAACACTTGCTGGAGGAAGTAAAGATTCTTGACTCCCTCCAACAGGCGCTGCTAGCAGAGGGACTCAGGAGCAGGCGGTTTCACCAGCAGTATACCGCTGAGTGAAACCGCCACCCCACTCTGCCCTCATATACTGTGCAGAGGGAGAAACAAGCCTCATTGGCGGGGCGCCAATAGGCTTATTCCTCCCTATGCATTTTTTTACTGCTCAGCTGAGGAGGGTGCAATTGCTACTCTGGCAAACTCTCTGGTTAGCACCATCCTTTCCCTCCTTTTGTTTGCTTTCGTTTTGTTTAGAGAGCACAGTGTGTGCGTGTAATTTCTTACTCCACTGCATTGTAGTCCTATTTGTGGGTTTTATCTGAAGCCTTGCAAGGGCTTAACACCACCAGGATTAAGGGGATAATGCATTAGTTTACAGGATACTGGGAAATGAGTTGCAAAGGAAGCTGAACCCCATGCAAGGTGCAAGCCTGTAGTACCCTGCCTCTGCAAAAACCAGACAGTAAGGAATAAGATTCCAGTGCTAAGATTGCAGGAGACTCCTGAGGCAGCTCATTTATTTTCTGCTTCAGCACTGGTAATTGCCTCCATCTCGTGTATACAGGAATTATGTTAATATTAAGGGAGGGTTTTTTTTAAGAATGGGGAAGTATTAGTGCATTCCTAAGGAATGCAATTGCAGAGTGCAGAGGATGCAGGTGGTGCTGTGGTCTAAACCACAGAGCCTAGGGCTTGCCGATCAGAAGGTCAGCGGTTCGAATCCCCACCACGGGGTGAGCTCCCGTTGCTCGGCCCTGCTCCTGCCAACCTAGCAGTTCGAAAGCACCCCAAAAAAGTGCAAGCAGATAAATAGGTACCGCTCCGGCGGGAAGGTAAACGGTGTTTCCATGCGCTGCTCTGGTTCGCCAGAAGCCACATGACATGGAAGCTGTCTGCGGACAAATGCCGGCTCTCTCGGCCTATAGAGTGAGATGAGCGCCGCAACCCCAGAGTCATCTGCGACTGGACCTAATGGTCAGGGGTACCTTTATCTTTACCTTTAAGGAACGCAACTGCAGAGTTCCTTCACTTCGCCGCCTTCTGTTCCGTCTGGGAGCTGTAACAGGAGAGCATCCCCTTACTTCTAGTGTCAAATAATACACATCTGATATATCGTAGCAGCTCTGGAAAGGGGATAGAAAAGGACTGTCCTGTAGCAGGAGCTGGGCTTGCAGCATCACTGCTTTTGGTGAAATCGTTAAGCCAGTGGAATATTCACTGTACAAGCAGTGGTTCCTTTTCAAAATCAGGAATACATTCCCAGAATTTGCCAGTGTGTGTTCTGAAGATACATCTCTTCTGCATTTGAAATGCAGTATTTTTAACAAGATACCACAGGGCCATATGATTAACATTTAACAAGCGCAGATCTTGGGTTGGTTTGAGTCTAAGAGGTGACAGCGTTTAAGGTGTGTACCAGTTTTTGCCATATGGCCTGTTACATCTTAAAGCTTAATTTAGCCATCTGCTACATAATGTTTACAAATACATTTTTGCTTGCTTGGGCTAGTACGGAGTTTTCCTCATGTTTTAGCTCCCCAGGGTGTCAACATATTGCGAACATTATTCCATCATCTGCTTCCAAACGATATCAAGAAATTGTAGCTGTGAAGTAGCTCTGTGTGGTAGAGGTTAAGTGGTGAGATCACCTTAACTGATATGGCAGTTAATACAAGCACCTCACAGCTTTAATCCTTGTCTTTAGTCTTTTATTTATGCCTGGCTATAGTATGGATATTGTGGTAGCTCTATTGAGAGAGGGCTTTATCTCCCCTTTTGACATAATGTAACATGTGGGAAACAATGTATGTTCAGCTGACTAAAATATGGAGTAGCAACATAACTACAGAGACTCCTAGTTTTCCTCTCAGTCAGCAGAAAATAACTCTTATGTTTGGTTACCAGAAGAGATGCATAAGATACAAAAATTGCACTAAACATGCTTGCTTGTTTTTTAAGTTAAAACATGTAAATAGGGTATCCGCATGGGTGGTTGTGTGGGGAAGGGGAAATTTGAGAAAACCACCTTCTCCCTCTTCTGTTCTCTAGCAGGAGCCTTTATGATACTGCAATCTCTTCTATTCTGGATACAGCCCAATTTTTTTCATGAGTATGCGCATTATCTCCTAATGATAGCTTTAATATACGTGCCCTGGGGGATTTCGGTTTTACGAAATCTCGCAATCTGGCGTCTATATAGCACATGACAAAACAGCTGACAAACCACAAAATCCTGCCCTGTTTAAAGGGAGGATGTACTAGGTCAACTCTGGTGTTCATTCTGAAGAATAACTGATATTCGTAACGTGGTTTCAGTCTAATATTGAAGATGTGGGCACAAATTATGGTACTCGTTTGAATGTTTACTCCCCCATCTGTTGACAGGCTTCTCCGAGATAAAGCAAATATATTTGGAAACGTGTGTGTGTGTGTTTTCTGGCATCGCTGAAGAATCTCCCTCACGTTTGAGAAAATCAGATTGTGCAGCAGCAACAGATGGCTGGATGAAGACAGAGAGTGTGACTAACTTGAGCCACTGCTGCCTTGTCATGTTTATTCTTACTTTGTAGTTTTTTAATAGTTAGTTTTGATTTGTTTAAGGTCTCCCCTCCCCCCAATTTGTTAGCTGCTTTCTTTTGCTTGCAAGGTAATCGGGATATAAATTAATTGCGTTTCTGTTTTTCGATGTCCCTTTTGGGGTGCTGTTTCCTCGCAAGTGGTTTTGGTGTTCCCCCTAATGTTCCCATATCAATTTATGTTGCAGCTGGATCCCGGGCTTCTTACACCAGCCAGCATAGCCACCTGGGCTCCGAGCTAAGGGCACTACAGTCTCCAGAGCATCACATAGATCCTATTTATGAAGACAGAGTATATCAGAAGCCCCCTATGAGGAGTCTCAGCCAGAGTCAAGGGGACCCTCTTCAACCAGCACATACAGGCACATATCGCACTAGCACAGGTAGGTGAAAACAACCTACATTCTCTTTCCACCCTCCCTCCCCTTCCTGTCTGGGTAGGTATGCAGCTTTAATTCATAAATTTCTGCGTTTTTGCTGTTCTGTTAGAAACACAGTGACTGAATCTGCGGTCAGAAATTTGTGCATGCTACTAAATAAATAACTAACGTCTTTATTCCCCACCCCACCCTTTCTCATAGTTTCTTTCTTGCACACTTACTTCTTCATTTTTGAGCTAAAATATCATATGACGGCGCTCAGAAATCATCCCTGGCTGCTGTACTTCCGTGTTCGCTCAGGGTGTGTGTTACTAAAAAAGGGACAGGGAGACTTTCTCCTATGCTGAATAGGCCATTTACAACTGGGTAGCTTAATACAGGTGGGATGGCGAAGGGGGAATTAATCAGACATGGAACATACGTTCCATTCTCACTTCATATGTGTATGCAACATGCTCATTCATTCATTAATACTATATGTCACTCCATGTTAAAGTAGCAGTGTCTGTGGCTGCATTTCAACCAATCAGCTCCATTGATTCATCTGTAATGGTAAAAGCGCATGACCATACATCCAAATGTGTTGGTGTACAATTTTTAGTTGTGGGGAGGTTGTTTCAGCTGTGTGAAATAGCTCTATATTTGGAAACCTGTGAACAGCAACCAAGTCAGTACTGGCAATTAATTTATGAAGGAACCCGCACCCAGCGTGTTCAGAACCAAAATACCCTTCAGACAGACACATCGAGAACAAACAGTAGACATGACTGCAGCGTTATTCATATTTATGGGATGGTTTATTTGCATTGTTGATCTTGTACAGAGAAGGAGTTAGAATTTCCTCAAATCAAAAAAAGACCATTTGCATTGCCAGAAGACTGGTTTGATTTTGCTTTAAGTCTTTTTATAGTCACACTTTTGAATTGTGGAGATTGCCTGCTTTCTTTTGGGGCTAATTTAATTTTGCATTCTCTGTGCACCCAGATATGTCAGAGTCGACCAAATATGAAGGAACTAGCTGCTTAATTTGATATAAACAAGAGGGTCAGTGAAGAAGCACTCAGGTGCTGGTAGTAATGACTGCCAACAGAGTATCAGAAAAGAACAAGACTTGGAAAGGAGTTGCGCTTATGGCCATGACGAGCAAATATGCTACAACAATAATTAGATTGCAAAGTGAGTAAGTAGTTAACGAGAGGAGTAAGGATGGCCTTGTCTTTGCAGGCCTAAAGTCGACTTATAATCTGTAGATCTGCATTGGGTGGTGTCCTTTATGCAGAAACATTTTTTTAAAAAGGAACTGTTTGCCTAAAATTGGCCAATGTTGCATTCATTTTTCAATTTATTACTGTGATTTTTGGAAGTGGGGGAGGTTATAGGCTCTGGTACAGATGCAAGATGTTCCTCTGCTATCGAATCAAATCCCTTTATGGGAAATTTGCCATCCACATTTTCAATTCTGCGCTGTAGAAACTGTTAATACCAAATTAAGCAGCAGTCCTGACTTCACTTCTGCCAATGAGCCAACGAACGCAACGTATACTTGTTTTTGTTAAACTGCCTGAGCAACTGCTTTAAGCATATCCACAAACACAGATCACTTATGTTCACTAAAGGCAGCAGGGAAAGTTATAGAGGGAGGGAGGGAGGGAGGGAGGGAGGGAGGGAGGGAGGGAGGGAGGGAGAGAAGTGAAGGATCTGTTCTACAGTGGTACACACTTCTAGTCAAGATAGCTGTGTCCTGTATGTAGCTTGTGCTGTGAATGATGCTGTGTCAAAAATTAGCCCTTGATTGTGCTCTGCTGACATCAGTTATGCACAGCCTGTTCGTATTGGCCCTTCCTTTGCAAAAGCCCTTATCAAAGGAAGCAGGAAAAGGCTGCTGAGGAGGCTGTTTAATCATTTGTTTCTGGAGTTGTCTGTCTCTTCTTGTTCTCCATGGTTCCTGAGCCTCCCTGGGCATTTGGTTTTCCTGGCTCTTTGCTGACTTCCCTCCTCTTTTGTAAGTCCCTGGTTGCCAGGTTGGTTATCTTGTCTGAATTCAGTGACCAAGATTACCCCAGGATTGAGGGAACCAGCCACAACACCCTACTGCAGTCATTTTTTTAAACCCACTATTAAAAGCAAGGTGTTGTATTGCAATTAGGAATTTAGGAGTTGCCACTGGTTTTCTTTTTCTTTTTCTTTATCAGTGCCTTTGAGCTTAGATTGCCTTCACTAAGCAGCAAATAACAATGTTGCATTATTATGAATGAAATTGCTTAGTTTTGTGGTTGAGTTCGGCAAAACTTTACACTCACAATCTTGTTTCAAATAGATTCTTTGAAAGAGAGCAGCTTGCGGTTCTCTTCTTTCTGTCAATGCCTCTTATAGCAGTCACCTGGTCTGCACAGAGAAATAGTGTACCCTAAGGGAAGCCAGGTTTTTGTCTCCTTGAAGGTGGTGACTCTATTCCCGGGTTTCATATATTGACTTTGCTGGACAGAAGGCATTTAAAGTATATTTTCCTGCCTTTTCTGCCCTACTTAGAGCTGTACGTACCTCTAGTTTGTTGTTGCTCTAGCTGATGGTTTTGTTGAGTGCAGCTGGGAAGTTGAGAGTTCCTTTAACCAGTGAAAGGTGCAGTCATCAGGGAAACAGCTGAAACAGTGGTGGTAGACTCCAGACTTTTTGTTTTGTTTTAAAAAGTCCCTTAGCCAACAAATTTGGTGTGGTCTTTTTGAACAAAGAAAAGCTAGGTATCTGAAGGACCATTTTCACCCATATGACCATGCCTAGTTGTTAAGATATGCATTCTGGCCCTCCTCTCCTTTCCACCAGTAAGAGAGGAGGCAAGCATAAGAGAGAGAGATCCTCTTTTCGGTCATGGCTCTGGAGTTGTGAACTCCCTATACATGGCCCCTACAGTGCAGGCCTTTAAGCATGTCTTAAAAGCCACTCTGTTCCATTCTGCCATTCCTTAACAGTGTTTTGTCATTGTTTTCTGAGACTCTAGGCTTCCCTACATTGGTTTTAATGCTTTAGAATGTACCGAAGTGTATCTCATCTCATTGTACACCACCTTTTGGGGGATATCCTCTAAAACAGGTGGCATAAAAAAGGTAAAGGTACCCCTGCCCATACAGGCCAGTCTTGACAGACTCTAGGGTTGTGCGCCCATCTCACTCAAGAGGCCGGGGGCCAGCGCTGCCCGGAGACACTTCCGGGTCACGTGGCCAGCGTGACATCGCTGCTCTGGCGAGCCAGAGCCGCACACGGAAACGCCGTTTACCTTCCCGCTAGTAAGCGGTCCCTATTTATCTACTTGCACCCGGAGGTGCTTTCGAACTGCTAGGTTGGCAGGCGCTGGGACCGAGCAACGGGAGCGCACCCCGCCGCGGGGATTTGAACCGCCGACCTTTCGATCGGCAAGCCCTAGGCGCTGAGGCTTTTACCCACAGCGCCACCCGCGTCCCATAAATACTTTCAAATAAATACTGCTTCCAGTATTCTGCCAGTTTTATAGTATTGATTTCATACATAAACTCAGATTTCCTTCTGTGCTCAGGAACACAAGAGCCTCTAGAATACTGTCAGTTTTTCTCAAGTCCCAGAGAATATGGGTGTAATCTACCCATAGTAAAGCTGATTTACCCATTTTATCAGTTGCTTTATTATGGTGTTTGAACACACTTAAGTATTCAGGATTTCTATTTGTACATGTTCCAATGAGCTTTGTGTTGAAAGACTATGCAATTTCTACAGACTTTTAGAACCGGAAGAAACTAAGAAGAATTGTTAGCAGCAGCAGCGTTCCTTCTTTAAAAAAACAAAATGTTGTGGATGATATAAGCCACACAGGATTTTTGTTGAAGAGGCAGTGCCTGGCTGGAAAATTCTGGACGTGGGCATTTCTGAAACAAATTTTGAAGAAATCAAAAAGAAGATATTTTCAAACGAAATTCAGTTTAGACACTTAAAAGGAAAGCATCACTTAGGAACAGAAAATGTCAGTTGTTGGACCTGTTTATGCATCCCTCCCTATGACTTGATCTGACAAGGATTGTGTTTCTAAAATGCTGGTCTTTGTTTTCAAGTATTTATTTTTGCTTGCTGCTTGCTATGAAATACTTGAAATTCCTTGTGGATACTTAATTCTGAAGTACATAATTTGTTGTTGTTGTTGTTTAAGCATACATAAAATTAGTTCTCAACTGTATGAATTCTCAAAAAAGCAGCGTCTTTGAATCTGCGAGCTGAGAAACAACTGCAACCACACCATCAGGGTATCAAATTTTGGAACATTTATCTATCAAGGCTCATTTTAGCAGTATCAATCCATAAGCAAAAGTCTGAACCAAACTAAGAAAAGTCAGAGATGGAGATGCAGAAAAATGCCACTTTCAAACGTCTTTTCTATGTTAAAGCTAAATCAGTGCCCTAAAGGTCCAGAGCGTCATCAGAGAAAGGGAAATACTTGAGGCTGCTTCCTGGAAACACGGCAGAACATCAAATAAAAAGCTCCATCAGTGAAAGTACCACAAGAAGCTATGAAGCTGAGAAAGTATAGCATTGTTTTTCGCTCAAGGAATATCACTCCTGATCACAGATGTATAATGATCAACCTGAGAAAAGGCAACATTAGTATATTTGCTCATCCTTAGCCATGAGCAAGTTTGGGCTAACAACTTTTTTTATTATTATTATCAGTGCTCAGTGTCAGCATGCTCTCTGGATGAGTTGTTCCATGTCGGCCTCTTTTTTAAAAATGAGCATTCTCAGGTGCACATTCATACAGGTTCTTGCAGCAACCAATATATCACTATGCTTGAGCTAGGTTGTAAAATTAAGTGTCTGGAGCTAAAAAGCACTACACAATAGCATTTATTTAATTAGTTAAAGCAAGCATTTTTACCCTGCACTTCAGCCAAAAGAGAGTCCCAAGAACAGTCCCATGACCCATTCAAACAAAACAGTGTTTGCCCACAGTCTTAGTCTAAAAGACATACTACAAAAGGAAAGGG